ACTTTAATTAATTTGCAGTATTTAATGTAAGTATTTTGTGTAGTGTCACATTTAAAAAACGTCCTTCTCTGCACCTTCATACCAAAAATGTCCCCAGGGAGCCCAGAGGGTGAAGAGGACAGTTGTTGAGTTGTTCTTCCATGAAAAACTCCCCTCTCTAAGTGGTGATTTAACCTCTTGTGTCTCTTTTTATTTTATTTTTCCACAAGGCAGGTTTACTGAATGGTCAGGATGACTTTGCCTAATAATACCTGGAACCAAATGTTTTAGTTCCAAGTTTTTCTGGATAATTGACTTGAAGGTTCAGGCTTGTTTGTAATGTAAGGTCTCAAAATAAACTGTCCTCGTCTCCTCAGGTGTCCCACAAAGAGCCAGAGATCCTGATCTTCAGGCTCCAGCAGAGCTTTAAAGTCGGCCTCCTCCAGCCATCCTCTGTTACTGTCTATGAGTACTACAGCCCAGGTGGGAGAACACACCCTGAGCGTCACATCACATATTCCAAACAAATATTTCAAATGTAAAAATCGTGTCATCTTGTGGTTTCTGTCTCTCAGATCGTCGCTGCAGTCGCACCTACACTCCCAGAGAGGACAAGGAGGAGCTCACTCAGATCTGCAGAGACAACGTCTGCCGCTGCACACAGGGTGAGTGTGTGTCTGTGTGTTCAGGGTGAGTGTGTGTCTGTGTGTTATTCTCACTATCGATTAACTTTGTGTGTCTGCTCACACCCCAGGTGACTGCTGCTTCCCCAAAGCCGACAGTGAAAGTTTCTCCACCGGTGTCAGAGAGACGTTTGCCTGCAAGAGTTTACACCATGGTACACACACACACACACACACACAAAGAATTTGTTAAACCAAACATGAACAATTGAACATACATCAGTTTGAAACCATCTTTGAGAAACGTACACTTTGACTTTTTAGCCCCATCCACTAACATTTTTATTTGACGTGTACTTTTTTAGTTTGATCCACAGACCATATAAAGACAAAGAAAGATAAACAACATGACAGCCAAAGCATCTTTATCGCCCCCTGGTGGCTGGCTGCAGTATAGGTCATAAACCCTCCACCATGTTAGCAGGTGGGAGATAAACCGAACTAAAATTATTCATTTATTCCAGTAGGAATGAGCCTGACAGAGCATCTTTTTAAACATTGATTCATATTTTATTTGTAGAATTTGAAGCAGTTCTCAACAAGATGTGGAAACAGTGACTTTCTCCTCATGCTGTCTGTAATGCAAAAGTCAGGGATGATGGTTCATCCTCATGAACGTCCGAGATTTCGTATTAACATCTCTCCCTGTTCAGTTTTCCGGGTGAAGGTGCTGAGTGTCAGCCAGAGTTACTATGACAAATACGAGATGGAGATCACACAAGTGATCAAACTGGGTCAGTGCACACACACAGTTTGAAAATATTCATATCTGTTATTTTTGGATAATTAATCAAAGTATTAATTTGACAATCCAGTTATTTATGCGACGTAGTTCAGCGTTAAATGGGTTTAGGTGTGTTGTTTTGTGCCGTCCAGGTGTGGAGGCTGGAGTGAAGGTCGGTCAGGAGAGGATGTTCATGTCTCACGGAGGATGCAGAGAGGGACTCAACCTGACGCCAGGCTCCCAGTACCTCATCATCGGCCCCAAAGAAGACCAGTGGAACATTGACAGCGACACAAACAGGTGAAAACACAGAGGCCACTTTATTATATACGGCTGTGAAATCTAATGCGATCCAGTAGAGCTCAGATAGAGATANGGGGGAGCAGTCATGTTTTCCATCTTCATAAACAGTCTGTGTATCAAACGTGAAGTTGAGGGAAGATTAGACGGTAATTTGAGTTACAACTTCCTGTTTCATGGTGAAACATCAAAGTTTGACACGTCACCATGGAAACATGAAGTGTTCTGTGTTCCTTGATGAGCGGGTGTCACTTCTGCAACAATCTCCTGTTACATCTTCAAAATGTTCTGACTGGAGCTTTAATCGTCCAGAAACATGAGGTTTAAAATTGTTGACCTAGTTTTTATGTCATGTACTTCATGTTTCTCAGCTGAATACCTCAACAGTCCTTGAAATATATAACAATACTTCATAAGATTAATAAATACAACAAGTTCTATATATTTGTTGACTTGTACAATTACCTTATTCAAAGTGCTGTTGTTGAACCCCGCCCCCCACTCCAGAAAATGATGAATGGTCACTCTCGTTGATTGATATCAAATCTTTTAGGTGTTATAATATTAGTGACAACTAATTACAATTTATAATATTTTGAAGTTAATGTTGTTATTTATAACATTTTGACAGTAACATACGTTATGTTAGGGTTAGCCCAACCTTAAGCTAACTCTAGATGTGGTTGAACCTGGGAAATATCTTCAACTATGGGAAAAGAAAACAACTTTCTAACCTTTGCCTTTCGTGGCTTCCATCGARGTAAGTGAGAGAATGTGTAGTTTGGGTGAACCAACCCATCAAGAAAGAAAACAAACCTTTACAAACACTGCACATGTCTACATGTTTTATTCTTTCTGGTTTCTTGATGCTGTAAAATCCAGGTTGAAACAACAGATTCATGTTGTGTCTCTACAGAGTTTGGTGACTGTGCTGTACACTGCAGATGAATCGTCCCCATCTTCTTGACGTCTTGTTCTGTGAAGGGCAGAATAAACCATTCACACCGACAGTTTTTAACCTCARTAAGTGTAGTGATGGAAATGTTCACGTGTGGAGCTGCTCACCCTGTTGCTCTGTCAAATGGAACAGCGCTGTATTCAACCTCCTCCTCGTCTTTCTCACTTTGTCTCTGGGCTCGAACTCGACTTATGTTGGAGTAGATGGCATCTGCCCGGTTCTGTGAGAAGCAGACGCTGGCGTAGTGGACGTCATCCTGCGGCTCTGCTGGTTGTGTGTGTGCAGCAGCTGAAATCTGGTCATACAGTAAAATACTTGCTGGGATCAGGCTGGAATCTGTGTCTTACTCTTTWACTTTGTTGGGTGCTGAGAGTTTCTCTTGGTCTTGGGCCTAATCCTCCTCTGCTGAGTCAAACTGTGACAGCAGTGAGAACACGTCCTTCATACAAACGTCTTTTCACAATGTTACTTTGATGTTAGTTTGAAAAGTTAAAACACTTGAGGGACGGACTGTAAAACATCCTCTTATATCTTTTATTGTGGTAAAACTATAAGTCAGAACTTTGTATGTTTTTCTCGCAACAAAATTAAATTGACTTCTGAACTAAATTCTGTTTATGATCATTGGCATTAGGGGGAAGTGTTGTGAAGCTAAATTAGTATTTTATTCATTTTTTGTTTGTGTTGATTCTGTATTTGTTGAATCAAAGACGTATATTATATGTGTAGTTTCCTGCTGTAATAAACAAATCACTTGATTTGAATACCAGTCAGAGGTTCTCTTTGTGTCGGGCAGGTTTTCTTTGGTTGTGCTGTACGAAGCAGCTGCAGATTCTTGACTCTG